GCCACCAGCCCGGCGGCCCGCGGGTCCAGCCCGACCGGACGCCCCTCACCTCGACCGAGTAGAGCTCGCGCGGCAGCAGCGCCTGCAGGTCTATGAAGGCGGTGATGGGAATGTGGGAGAGGAAGTAGAAGCCCAGCAGCCACTCCAGGCCGCGCCTCGCGCTCGGAAACCCCATCATCCGCAGCTGGGACCCAGCGAGCGACGACCCCCAGCCCCGCCGACGTGCGAAGGAGGCCCGAGACCGCCGCCGCCCGGACCCCGCGCCAAGGGCTCGCCCCGCCCCGCTCCCCTGAAGGCCACGCCTGCCGCGCCCATTGGCCGGCTGGCGCGCCGAGAGGGCGGGACTCCCCGCCGAGGGCGTTTATTGGACGGCCCGAGGGTAACGTGTCGCGAACGCGCGGCCGCAGACTGTCGCCATTGGCCACTGGGAGCGCCGACGGGGCAGGGGCGGGGCGCTGTGGCAGCCACGTCCCGGGTTCGCGTGGGGGCCCGGGCCCGCCGGCACCCGGGAGCGGACGGAGGGGCCGCACCGGGCACGTTCCTGCGCGCTGCGCTGGGCCCCCGAGGAAGGTAGCGGCTGTCCACACGCTGCTGTTGCTTTCCTCGTCCACTCCGCGGATTGAGCTGGTACTGAACGTCGGAAATCGACGGGCGATGGAGCGTCCAGTCCCTGGAGGGTGTCCCAGACCCGGGCGGGCCCGACAAAGTGGTGATACTCCTGAGATGACTACCCCCAAATGGAGGGGTCCGGGAAGCCTTTGAAGGAATTGCGGAGGCGCCCTCACACTCACTGCGACCCTATAGGGTCTGTCCCTGTGCGTTTCTAGCACCCTGTGGGTGCTAGCCCACCGTGTAACCCACTGCGCCACCAGGGCTCGCACAAACAAACCTCCCTGCCAACGAGTCCATTTGACACGTAGAACTGCCCGTGTGCGCCCCTGTGGGTTTCCCTGCTTGCGGAGTAGAAAGCCTCATCTTTCTCCCTCAGAGCGGCTATTGGTTTTGAAATGCTGACTTGGCAGTTGGCAGCCCAACCTGTAACCCACTACAACACGAGGGCTCCTCCAACCGGACTAGCCAGTCTGAATTAAAAAAACAACAACCAGCAGAGGACAGGACTGCAGGGAGATGGAGAGGTCAAACTGACAGAACCTGGCGATAATAGGTTCTGGGGCACGAGGGAGGAGTCAAGGGTTCACTCAATAAATACTGCTCTTTACAAATGGGGCAGGAGGATGGAGCTGCCACTCACTGAGAAGGGGATGTGGCATTTGCAGAGAAGGACGATTATGACTGAGAAATTGGTTGAAAGGGATAATATTCGAGTTTAACCTCTACATCATTTGGGCAGTTAGATGAACCAATCTGAAGATGAAGGTTTGTGGGTGGCAGTTGAAAGTTCGAGAGTGAAAGAAGCAAGGCAGAAATAGAGGAGAGACCACTTTCAAAGGTCAGAGAAGGACAGGCACAGACAGGTGCACAGCAAGAGTGGGTGAGCGCAGAAACAGGGAAGGAAGGAGTCAACTGCCAGGCAGGAGACCAAGTAGGGACTGACTGGGACTCACTGGTGGCCTGTGGTGGCGGGGACATGAGCCTGGTCAGGCGAGCAAGTGGGGAAGTGAATATAGGGAGTGTATGTGAAATGTGAGGACAAGAACACTTTGTTCTAATGACCTGGCACTCTTTGATGCTCACCTTCCCGACACGAACTCTGAAGACAAATGAGTGCTTAAGCAAATGTGGTGAAGAAAGTGGATGGTGCCAGCTATCAAAAGATATAGGGGTCTTAAAGGCTTGAAGTTAATCAAGCAAACCATCAAACAGGGAAGCAATAAAGCCCACATGGAAGAAACACACCAGCCTGTGTGATCATGAGGTACAGACAGAATCAGGTATCAAAAGATCCAAAACAAACAATTATATCAATGCAAACCAGGAGGGCTTGGAGTGGAAGTAGACAATTGGCCATCAACTCACAGAAGGGTTACAAGGAAAGGATAATTTAACCAGGGTGCAGTATAGCACTGAGGAATATTCCTGAATGCTCCCTCCCCAACTCCCCCACTATCATGACCCATTTCTACCTTACAAATCCGGCGAGACCGGAGTATGTACATAGATACAGATAAGAGCTCTCGACACATGGAATCCAGGATAGCTAAACCCCTCAGGAACAGTAGTTGGAGAAGTGATACCATTAGTGGGAACAACTAGTGATGCCATGGGGGGGGCATGGGAGAAAGGGGGAACTGATCACAAGGTTGGATATATAACACACACACTCTTGAGGGTGATAATAGAAATGTGGGTGAAGGGACACAACAGGCAGTGTAAGAAACAAAATATACAAAATAACAACAAGAACATAATTGACCAAGGATTCATAAGGGTGGGAAGGCCAGGGAGGGAGGGGGAAAAAAGAGGACCTGATACCAAGGGCTCAAGTAGAAAGAAAATGTTTTGAAAATGATGATGGGAACAAATGTACAAATGTGCTTGACACATGGATGTATGGATTGTGATAAGTTGTATGAGCCCCTAATAAAATAATTTATAAAAATCAAAAAAGAAAATACTTTGGAAATATGATGGCAATATATGTACAAGTGTGCTTAATACAACTGAATTATGGATTGTTAACTAGACAAACAACAGGAAGTGAGGCTCAAGGCCTCTCTGAGCAGGTGGAAGGAGTGGCTGGATTAGCCTTAGGTCTAAGGCTGTGTTAGTCTGGGTACATTAGAGAAACAAATCCACAGAAACTCATGCATAAGAGAGAGTTTTATATAAAGGTTAAGTGTGCATCAAGAAAACATGCAAACCCAGTGCTGCCCAAGCCCACAAGCCCAACATTAACCCATATGTCCAACACCAATCCACAAAGTCCTCCATCTCACAAAACACACGCAATGATGCCGACTGCAGGAGGAAAGCCGAGTCAGTGAATGTGTAAGCATCTCAGCGCTGGCAGGGGT